TTCAATTTTATGAAGTCACGTCGCTAACGAATGATTTTACCCATATACAGGTGGAAGATGTTTATGCCAAACTTTTTGATGAAAAAAAAATGAAAAATAATCTAAACCTATTTTGGATGGATTGTTATCATTATGCGCCACTACTCCTCTCTGTGTCTATGGTCTTTCTTTCTTTCTTTCTATATAACCACCACGTGTCGAATGGCACAAAAAGATAGGATATTATTTCAGACTGTCAATCATTCTGCGAGTGATTTCAGCATCTATTCAAATTAAAACAAGTATCTATTGTATAGAATAACATTGAACAACAATTTCTGATACACCGACACAACATTTTTTAGTGATGTGCAGTATTGAGTTATATTTTCATTCTTACTTTCAAAATGACCTTGTATTGATAATGTCAGTAATTATGCTGAAATGAAAATAATTCCTAGTTTTTTATGTAGTTATCCTGAGAAAGTGCGCATGTTAACTGCATCTCGATACTTATCAAATAAATATTTACTCTGAGGGTGGAATGATATATCACTTTCTAAAACACTATTATTTCTTTGTCTCTCTGCGATAAGATACACAATGTGTCCATTTACTTTTTCTCGTCAACAACACAAAGAACAAATTTTTTAACGTCTTGAATACAAGATAACAAAACACGATTTCTTTAACCTTGAATGAAAGTTTACGGATAGGTATTTCTATGAGCAAAGAAAACATCGGTCCTGTTATTATCCCATCTGACATATTATGTCTGGTTGCGTATAGATAGTCTCAATGTTAGTTCCTTTGTGACTTCTCACGTTCATACGCAACCAATATGATCTTGCCGAATCGAATATTACTGCGCTGTAATTAAAGTGTCACATGTTGCAGACGAAAATAATGAAGAATGGCAAGCCTATGGAGGTCGCAGAGCGCGAGAGTGCGACTTCAAATGTTCAAGGTTCGAGTGATGCCAGAAAGATGATAATGACAAGAAAAATGGAAAGAACAATGAGGATAATGTCCTTCATGACTTTATCCGCCAAAATGACTAACCCATGGCCAAATTGTCCGCTTTTTTCTAGAACACTGGATATGGATTCACTTCATGACAAGTGACTTTTCAGGTTGATTTTAGCTTGATCCACAAGTTGGGTGTGGGTGTGGGTGTGGGGTGGGTTTGGGTGTGAGTGGATGTGGATGTGAATGTCATTAGAACGAGACACATCCATATTTACACCCACACCCATACCCTATTCTTCATTTTTGTTTTTTTTTGTTTGAATTAACTCATTAAGTTTATTACTGAGTTCTTTTAATTCAGCAGCAGCTCGTTCAATTTGAGAATCAAACTTTTGTTTTGCTTGATTTCTCTCTTTTCGTAATTTCATTATAACACTAGGCTTTGTCAAACTATTTTCATTTTCTGTATTATCATGAGATTCGACAACATTATCATCATCGACTTGAGTAAAATCGATTAACATATCATTTCCTAGTACGACATTATCATCTAATAATGAACTATCATTAGATGAACAGCCATTAATTGATAGAATTTTAATATCTTTTAATTGATTGCTATCTGATGCAAGATCTTTGATTGTCAAATTATCAATATTGTATTGAAGGTGATTATGTAATAAAACGGTATTGGATAAATCATTAAATGGTACAATATCATTGAAACATTGATTATCACTGATTGTCTTCAATTGATGATCAACAAATGAATCATTTTTTGTTGTTGTTATTTGAATAATTATTTTATCTCTATTTTCTTCTGTATATGATGATATATTATCTGCATTGATGTTCAGTCTGAAAAACAAAATAAATTGATTACTTAAAAAAAGCACAATTTTAGTTTTTCATTTACAAAGACTTTTCTGTCTTATATAAAAGAATAATTAAATTTTAAGAATAAATATTAGTTAATGAAACATGTTTTTTTTTCAAGTAAAAGCATATACTTTTAACTAAATCTTTTTTAATGAAAACCAGTGTTTCTTTATTCTCATAATCAAAGTATTATTCCCTAAACTAAATATAATAATTAAGTTATTAATTTATATAAATATGCATCCAATCACGAATTCAATGGCATGAGAGATCAACGATTACAGAAATAATGAAGAAGTCTTTCAAAAAGGCTTTCTCAAAAAATATTGACACAAAATAACTAAAACTAGGCAAGATCTTAAAAAATAGATTAGTCTTACTTATTAAATGTAATATGAATACTTAGTCAAATTTTTAAGTGAATAACAATGATTAATGTTAAAAAAACATTAACACACTCGAACTGATATGACTCATCAATAGGTCACATTGTACTTTAATCAAAAAACAAAAAACCTAGTCGTTTTTCCTGTTCACTGTTTTTACAGAATAGTTCTTATATTCGAGATCATTCAATTCAGTTTAAAAATAATTTTAATAGATATATTCTCGTATGCATTAACCTTTTAATAAATCCTATTTCTTAATTCTTGAGTTCAATGCGGTCAATTGCGATTCTTTTTTTAATGTACATACGATATAGAATGTCACAATTAATTACTAATTTTACAGTTGTAGGAAAGTTTTTATACAATATCTATGATTTCATATGACATCCAACAAATAAAAATTCATTGGAAAATAAAAACCGATATATATTATTCAATGCACTAAGTAAAAGAAAGAGAAGAAAGATTTGTATAAATTGTCTCGATTCAAAAAATTCTTTTATTGTCTTGTTTCTTCTCATCGCGTAAAAATATCTCTCAAAAAGATCACACTTTTCTTTTAAAAAAACCTGTTGAACTCGTACAAGTAGTTTTAATCCAACATTGTTCATATATGTCTTCTCTGTTTATTCAAATAACTGAAATGAATACATCAGCCAATACATATCTAATTGGCAGCTCGACCTAATCGACAATCTTGTTTTTGAAATATTACGGAATTTCATCGAGTATGAGGTATTAATGGTGTAAATCATTCATTTTCGTTACATGGATGACCAGAGAAAATATGAGTTCACAATGTTTAATAAAAGGCTTGTGAATCAACAATAATCTCACATTCTAATCCTATACGGAGCATGCACAAAGATTTTTCAGATATAAAAAATAAAATCAATTAAAAAAAATATTAATTAATTTGTTGTATCAGTACTTTCTAAATTGGTTCTCATATCCTTGTTTTCACCTTTGATATTAATTCCTATAAGTTCGTAACGAAAGGTTTAATCGAGAAAAATATATTTGATGATAAGAAAAAGTTATAAAATTTTGTTTTAATGATATTTTTAAAAAGAAAAATGAGATTATTGCAATAGTACTTGAAAGAGTAAAAACAATGAAGATGATATAACCTTTTTATCTAGGAGAACAGAAAGAGGAATTTTTTCCTCACTACAATCTAATATTATGAACTGATGCATGCTTGGTAATATCTTAAATGTATTATTTACGATCTAATAAAATTTCTAATATACATTTCTTTTTAATTGAAGAAAAAACTTTTATGAATCAATTAAACTTACAAATCAACATCTTCAATGACTTCATTTGAACTTGCTCTATCAATTGATGATGCATGATCATGAAGTGATTCTAAAACAAAATATGAATTTTTATTGTCCATTATAATTATGCATCTTATCGAAATCAAACGCATAACTCAATTTTTTTTTCTCTTTACTCGATATGAATGTTAGATATTCAAATACGAATGTTTCTTATACCAGAGCAGTTTTTACAAACTCATTAATATATTTTATTATCCAAAAGTTCTAAAACACAAATCTATTTGGTGATGTTCAACTTTTCTATTAACTTTATCAAAGTAAATTATCGACACTCGCCTATAGAAAATTCAGCACTAATCTGAATAAAAAAATTGAATATTCATGCACTTACTCAATGTTTCAGCATCATGACTCTTCTCTGTTGATTGTTTATGATTACGACGGAGACGACGACGAGGCGGTGAGACAGAAATATCTAAATAATATAAAATAAAATAGAAAAAGTGGTATTTTTATTTCATACTCATTTACCTTCATTTTGAAATAAAATATCATTAAGTATGGTTTTTTTGCTTTTTTTCGACGGTTTTTTGTCGATAGTTTTTTGAGCTGTAGGTTGATTGTTTTCGTCGTCTCCGTCGAATTTCCATCAACGATTAAAGTTGAATAATTGTTGCCAAGTTTTTTACGTATTGTTTCTTTCATCATGAGAACAATAAAGTATTTGAGAATGACGTAGAATATCAATTAAAAGAAAAATGCCTATATCAGTTTCACATGTGCTATACGTATTTATATATATAGCTCCAAACGAACTGAACAATATGATGCTGCATTAACCAATGAAGTTGTTAGAAAAGTTAAAACAGGGCTAATACGTCCCATGTCGATAGGATATGCCACCGACACATCTGTCGACGCAATGACACGATGGAGTTATTCTTTACATAAATTATTTTTGGTTTTTGTTTTAGATTAATTAAACTTTATCATGAACATTTCAATCTTAAACAAACTCGACACAATGAAGAAAAATTTTTAGTTTTTTTTATTTTATTCTTTAAATTTTTTTCATTATGGTAAGTCTATTTTATAGACTGTTTTTTACTGTATAGACGATTTTTTTATAATTTTATTGTATTGTGTACACGTGTTTTGATTGTTTTTAATTATTTTATTGTATAGGGTGGGTGTGGCTGTGAGTGTGGGCGTTCCTCTTTTCGTTAACCCACACCCACACCCACTCATGTACAGCGATTATTTTCTGATGAATTTAATCATATTCATTCTCAGAAGAGGAGATAAATCATTTTCATATATACTTCGTTGAGAAATCGCTTCTTTGTATGCAGCTGCATCAGACACATGATGTCGATATTAAAAACTTTCAATACTGAAATATCATTCAGAAAGAAAAGTATATATACATTAAAGAGTATATGTTACCTTTTCTGCTTGTTTCTCGGAAGTGAAAGGAAGTAAAAAACAGCATTGCATAAATATTACATATATTTCTTCCCGTCCATTCAATAAGTAGTACTCATGTTGGAAAGAGCAGAAAAATCATTTTCTTATACGCCTAGTTCCGAAATTGCTTCTTTATATGCTTCTGTATCGCATACATTGTGCCGACGTTAAAGAGTGGATGTGTGATTGTGGGTGTGGGTGTTTGTATTTGATTCATATCAACACCTACACCCATATTCATACCATACTCACACTCTTTGTATAGTATTCGATTACAGTAGACGTGTGAACGTTGGTTGAATGACAACTGCCAGTGAGAAATAACGATAGAATATACATACATTCTACTAAAAGAAAACCATTAACTTATAAGTCTGTTCCATTGCTCATTCTGCCTCTGTTCTGTAGAATTTTATCGAGCTAGTATCTTTCATCGAAGAAACAAGTGTATTCTTTGGTCTAGCTTGATGATGAATCCGTGGAATACTGAAGCTAGAATACTTAAATGAGAAAAACTATCATTGTCAAAATTTTGAGTCAATTGGCTTAACAGATCATAATGCTTTGTACTTCATTAGAAAACTACTCAACTAAAATTTCGAGAGAATGGGTGTAGGCTTTTCTTCATTCTCGTCCTCAAGGTATGCCACATTTAACTTATTTCAGACCAATCAGAAAACAAAAACAATATAGTGATGGATGATTTTTCTCGTTTACATACATAGTTAAAATTAAATTTTTCTGTTTATAATAGAAGTAACTTTTTTTGCAACAGTGAAAAACTAAAGACTTCGCAGATGCATTGATTATGAATATTACGAGTGCAGCTAAATAGCACTTTTGTGAAACACGATCTGAAAGGAGTGTTGAAGTGTATAGGGTAGAAATTTTGGACCCACTCCCCCCCCCCCCCCCCCCCACAGACCGTGACAGAGGAAATTCAACCCCCCCCCACCCCCACCCCCCCAGGTGGCCTCTGCAGCCTCTCTGTCACGGTCTGTGATGGTCTCTGGAGTCCCTCTGTCACGGTCTGTGATGGCCTCTGGAGCCCCTCTGTCATCACAGACCGTGACAGAGAACTCCTAAAGACCATCACTGACCGTGACAGAGAGTCCCCAAAGACTATCATAGATCGTGACGGAGGGACTACAGAGACCATCACAGACCGTGACAGAGAAACCCCAGAGACCATTACAGACCGTGGCAGAGAACCCTCAGAGACCGTCACAGACCGTGATAGAAAATTAATAATCATTACAGACTGTGACAGAGAAGCTCCAAACCCATCGTAGACCGCGACAAAGAGACTCCAGAGGCCATTACAGGCCGTGACAGAGAACCTCCAGACACCATCACAGACCGTGACAAAGAATATCTAAACCCTTCACAGACTGTTACACAGAAACTGTAGTTTTGGAAGATTAAAACAAACGATAAGCTAGAAATCTATCATAAACAAACGGAAGAAAACGAAGTCCATTTAATTTGTAACAGTAGGTCTATCGTGTTTCACATTTTTAATCCCGCAAGGGATTGCGCTAACAGCTTTTTATATGACATGTTGAATTCCAGTCTCATTAAATTATATTAGTGAATAGCATTGATGGGTGTGGGTGTGGGTGGATGTGGGTGTTTGTGTGGGTGTGGGTGGGTGTGGGTGTGTGGGTGTGGGTGGGTGTGTGGGTGTGTGGGTGTGGGTGTGGGTGTGGGTGTGGGTGTGGGTGTGGGCGTGGGTGTAAATGTGGGTGTGGATCATATCTTCATCTACCCACCCATACCCACCCACATCCACACCCACCCACCCACATCCACACCCACCCACCCAC